CTTTTAGGGCTGGGGCTGCAGCTCAGTGGTAGAGCGCCTGCCTCGTATGCATGAGGCACTGGGTTGGCTCCTCAGCACCATGTAAAAATAAATAAAGATATTGTGTCCGTCTACAACTAAAAAAATTTTTTTAAAAACCAACACTTCAAAAGGGCTGGGGATGCAGCTCAGTGGTAGAGTGCCCTCAGGTTCAATCCCTACTAATGCAAAAAAAAAAAAAAAAGACATCCAACGAATATTTGCTGTATTTCAGCCACATATTCTGCAAATAAAAATGTGATCACAGCATAGGTTCTACCATTTAGGGACAAGTAGAGATGGTCGTACTTAAGTATTTTAATTAAATGCTTACTCACATAGATTTACTTTTGGAAATATGTATTTCACAAATGGCTTTATGTATTTAAATGGCTTTACGTTGATATTTTACATTTTAAGCAATTTTTGGAAGGCAGACAACAAAAACTTCATATAAACCATCTTGGTTCCCACTGCCCAGCTCAAAGAGACTGTGCTCAGCACTCACAGTCCCTGAGGACAGTTCAGTGACTTTTCAGCAGAGGGCGCCATTCAGTTCTTTAGTTCCAAATTAATTCTTCAGGACCAAAGGCCAGGTTACAGAATGTACTTAACAGAGATACATGGACCCAAGTTTGCAAAGGAACAAACTGTGTCCCCAAATAATTGCAAATAACTATGAGATCCCCCAGAACTGAGGAAGAGGCCAAGGAATGTGATTTGTCCATCTGGCCCCTTCAATCCTGCTGCTTTCTGTCCCCCCCCCCTGTTCTCTGCAGGCAGGGGCGGCAGCAGCAGCAGCTCACAGCCTAGTATCAAGCCAAGGCTCCAAAACTTCTGGCAGTGTGGCCACAGGCTGGCTAGGGTGTTATCACTGGGCTGGGAATCTGCAGGATCTACTCTTCCTCTAACTCCCACAAACACGTCTTCACCCCGGGGAGGGTCCAAGGGCACTTGGGTCCTCTGGGGCCCCTCTAATTCTTCTCTGCCTGGACCCTCTTTTTCTAGCAGTGACTGGAGGGAAGCCTCACCCTCCTCAACACTCCACCCTGCAGCTCCCAAATGCTTTTCTTATACCTGTTCCTCCAAGGATCTCAGATTTGTGGAAGACACTGAAGGGTTGTTTCCTTTTCACCCTGGTGAACACAAATGGCTTAACTGCTTGAAAGTAGGGAGAGGAGGTGAGAGAATAGAGAGGAAAGTATCCCGACAACCAACTTTAAACATCCTCAGCCCTATTTTCAAGGCCAGAGCTAAAAATTAGCTCCTAATTTGTTTAATTCGTTTCACGGTCGTCCACAAATCTGGAATCAGCATGAGATGAATCCAAAGTATGGATTCTCAGTCCATGTCCCAGACCTACGGAACCTCTAGGTTAAACCTAGAAGTGTGTGTGTGTGTGTGTGTGTGTGTGTGTGTGTGTGTGTGTGTCAAATTCGGGGCCTTATGAAAGTTAGGCATAATCTCTACACAAGGCTATATTCCCAGTCCCTGGAAGTCTGTTTTTTTTTTTTTTTTTAACAACTCCCAGTTTTTTCCCTTCTGTTCTCAGTTGCACTGATCCTCCGACCTCCTTTGGGGTACAACTCTCTGCAAGTCATTTTCTTTTCCACATCCTGACTTCTTTATCTTTCTTTCTTAAGTTCCCTTGCATAGAATGAAAATCTAGAGTGGAGTTCTGTATCCATCTTTTTTTTTTAAATATTATCTTAGTTGTAGATGAACACAATACATTTATTTGTTTGTTTGTTTGTTTGTTTATTTATATAGGTGCTGGTGATGGAATCCAGGGCCTTTGCACACAAGGTAAGCACTTTACCACTGAGCCACAACCCCAACCCCCTGTATCCATCTTTGAAAGAGAGGATAATGCAGAAGCCAAACAGGTGTTCACATGTCTCATCTACTCTTACTGGTTTTTAATCCCATTTTTCTCATCCTTTAATCTCCTTTCCATGTTCCAAGAAGAAATTCTGAGTCTAATGGACCACATAAGAGCATCCAGGTCTTCAAGCTGTGTTCAATGCAAAAATATTTCCCAGAGACCTAAATACTGCTTGATTCTTAGGGAAAATTATTAGCATATAGAAGCCTCCTAGTTTTTTAGGGTTCAGAGATACTTCTAGAAGAAAGGCTCTATGTAACTAATACCATAGTCCCAAAGTAGACAAATTACAAAGTGAAATCTCTTTAGATGGCTTGCACTGGTTTGTTTAATTTCTTGTTAATTTATTTGGAGAGAACAGCTCACCCTTTTTTTTCATGGAAGCTGGCTAGGTAGGACATATTAGGCTGGCAATATCATTGACCTATTTGATTCCAGAAGGAGGTTAGGAGTGCTGAGCTAAATTGGAACTCCTAAAAAGGATTAAGTCCTAGAGAAAGATGATGGACACACTGACTGAAAATCATTCACAAGCAACGATTGGGAAGACTCACCCCCTGGAATGGTTGTTGATATTGATCAAAGTCAGCTATGTTTATTGACTTAACTCAACAAACAAGTCACATATTGTTACTATGACATCAGAATCCTACTCCCTGTTCAATAACAATGGCCAGGGTGTAAATCATGAGGGGGATGGGCAGGCCCAGCAGGAGGCAGAGAAGGGAACTTCTGGGCACTGAGCAGATTACCAGAATCACTTTCCTTATTCCAAGAGCCCTCACACTCCAGGCTTCAGTTATTAATGTCTTTTCCCTTAAAGTTGACTAAGCATCAGTACCTGATTGACCAGGAAGTATCAACTGCCGGCAGAGCGCTCTACTAAATGTCATAAGGAAAGAAAATCATTCTTCTGAAGAGAATGTCCTTTTTATCCCCGCTGAACATTTGGTACAGAGATGGGGTTAGTTAGGGACCAAAGAAATCAGACTTCACGCAGAGGTCAAAAGGAACCTCAAGTTCTCCTAGGCTGGTGCCCCCATTGATCGGTGAGTTATTTCTCCAGCTTCGCCTACAGGTGCCCATTCTGTTTGGGGTTTATTCTATCTGGAAATGGAGATCCATGCTGTCTGGGGTGGACAGTGGCCTCTGCCGGGGACAGCTGTTTTTCTGAGAGTCAGGACGAGGAGGGTCACAAGGGGAAACTCAGGCTGCTCCTTGGTGAGCTCTGGAGCCCTGGAGTCTCCGCCTCCATGAACTTGAACCTCACGAAGGCTTCCTCCGCAAGTCTTGCACCTCTGGCTGAAAAGCTACTCTTCCCTCAGACTTGTGTTGGTTTAGGCATCTCGACTTTAAACAAAAGCCCTTGTTCATTGGAGTGGTTCATCCATTTGGGATTTTATTTCCATTTTGTTATTCATTTGTTCATTTAATAAACGTGTATTGAGCCATTTTTGTCTCTCCTTGTAGGAAATTGAGGGCCGAGAGCTCAGGCTATATACTCAGCCACAATCAATGACTTAATGATGAATGGACATCTCCTGACTCAAAATTCCAGTGTGTTTTTACATCATTTTGGGAATGGTGTTATTTTGTTATCATAGAGTAATTTTTTTAAAAAAACATATTATTTATTAATGTACATCTCATTTCTCTTTCACTAGTGGCAACAAGAAACGGATAGCACCAGGATGACAGGGTGTGGAGAGGACACAGAGGGGCATGCACTGAGATTCTATAGCATGCCAGGCCGAGCACCAGACCCTCTCCATGTAGCACCCCACTTAATTTTCAGAACCATCCTGTGACAAATGGAATATGGTTTCCATTTTACAGATAAGGAAATTGAGGCTCAGAGATGTTAAATAACTTGCCCAAGGTCATCATCAGTCATCTAGCTGACCAATGTCAGAGTGGGGGTGTGTGTCTGTTCTTCTTTGTTTTGGTTTGGTTATGGGAATTGATAGAGATGGGAATTGTTAGAGATGGGTATTGAACCCTGTTCTTTCTGACTCAAAAACCAATAAACTATATTGCTTCCCATGCTCCAAGCAAAAGTAACTGAGCATCTAAATGCCATTTAATTCCAATCATCTCTGCGCTGATTTTCATGCACTTCAAGGAATAGCCTTTAATATTGTTCATTGATCTTGAGATCCTAGCAGTCTGTGTAAAAAAAAAAAAAATTTAAATCCTTCTTCAAGTAACGCCTGTATTATTACCTAGTTATGTTACTGAAGAGAAGTAAACAAAAAGTGGGACAGAAGGAGATTACTAGATTTTCTCTGATCTCTGACCTCCTGGTACATCTGCTGTGAACTTTTTGTTATGAGCCTCTGTCATAGATCTCTACAGAGGGTCACCTACACTTGGGGTCCTCTTCCTCTTCTATGTGATGGTACTTCATGTTGTTTGCATTGGCTGTCGATCTTTCTAGTCATAGCATAGTTGGATCTGTGGCTTCTGATTAAAGCTGGCAGATGAGTCACATGGTTCGTAACTTCTCCCTCTCTAAACTCATCCTGTGTGACAGTAAATGAATTAATAAAATCACTAAACTACCCGGGAGAAAGAACAGATGACCCCCGTGGAAAGAAGATTTTATTACAACTTGGGGAGAGAGAAACTCATTTGCAGGGCAGGGGAAATGACAGCTGAAGGACCAGCCGTAGGCATATCGGACAAAATGTAAGGAGACCCTCAAGGAGACTCTTGGTACGACCGGCCCTTGGCTGAACACAAGATGGGTGCAGTGTCTGGGGCACACCGCTGACTGCCCGCTCTTCTTTCCCACCCAGAGCAGCTAGGAAAGGGAGTTTGTCTCCCACCCCATAAGAGCTTAGGGGTGCATTCTCCAGGGACTTGAGAATCCAGAGGAAGAGACCTGGTTGAATGTCTTCACTTAGCACAGCGAGCATTCCGAGACGGGAACACCTTCAAACTGGTCGTGGGGTTGGACCCAGCCCCTTCCCCCACCTATGCCTAGAACATCAGGAAGCCTAAGTACTTCCCCTGCCCTCGTGCTACCCAGAGAGTCCTTGTGGAGGAAAAAGAAAAATCTTGTTTAAGAAAAAAAAAAAAAAGATAATTTTAGCCTATTTAGATGTATTCTGACTATGGATTTATTCGGATTTGTTTTTACCTTTTCATCTTGTTTGCTGCCTTTTTAAAAGGAATTTCCATCTGCTTTTCCCACTTCATTCTTCCTCTTAATAGATTGCTGGTTGTGTTACCTTGCTCTCCCCCAGTCCTTGGTTTGGAAGTCACTTTTTTTTCTTTTTGAGTGATCACTTTGTCACTTTCACTTGAGCTGGATCAGCACCCTACTTTGGGTACAACCAGAGAAATCAAAAATTGTGCTCCATTTGTGTACAAGGAATCCAAGAGCATTCTGCTGTCATGTATAACCGATTAGAACAAATTGATTAGTTAAAATAAAATGGATCAGCATCTCCATCCTCCCCCAAAGCAACATGGACATTCTGGAATGCTTCCATTCCAATCCCCCCTCCCTTACCTGTTGACTCTGTTGACCATATTGGAGTCCCACTTCCATTTTATTGCTCCCACACAGGTTTTATTTTGCTGATGCTCATTTAGATTTATCCACATGTCGACTGATTTCTTTCCTCACCATTCATGCCTTTATCTTCGTTCTGGACTTTTTTTTCTCCCCCCACTTTCTGGACACTGAACCCAGAGCCTCATGCATGCTGGGCACATGCTGTACCACTGTACTATATCTGCAGCCCTTTATGAATTTTGATTTAGGGCCTCACAAAGTTGCCCAGGCTGACTTAGAACTTACGATCCTCCAGCCTCGGCCTCCTGTGTGACTAGGATGAGGTGTACTCGGCTTTTCATTTCCTTCTTTAAGTACTACCTTAAATAGTTCTTTTAGTGGAATTGTCTACAGGTAGTCAATTCTTTCAGTCTTGGGCTAAAATGTTATAATTTGTTCTTATTCTTGAATCTCTCTCCCTCTCTCCTCCCCCTCTCTCTCTCTCTCTCTCTCTCTCTCTCTCTCTCTCTCTCTCTCTTTCTCTCTCTCTCTCTTTAGCTATTGATGAACCTTTATTTTATTCATTCATTTACCATTCGGTGCTGAGAATTGAACCCAGTACCTCACACATGCTAGGCAAGCGCTCTACCACTGAGCCCCAGCCCTCATTCTTGAATCTTTAAGTAACTGGCAACTAAATAAGTTAGCAATTTCAGAATTTTGAAACTATTCCATTGTCTTATAAATTCTATTGGTGTAGTTTTTTTTTCTTTTTTGTGGTGCTATGGATTGAACCCGTACATGCAAGGCAAGCACTTTACCAACTGAGCTATGTCCCCAGATTTCTATTGGTATGTTTGAGAAGGTCACTGTTAATCTAATTGTGATTAATTTATAGCTAGTAATTGTTTTCTTTAAACACTTTTTGGGGGGATGGATACTGGGGATTGAACTCAGAGGCACTCCACCCTGAGCCACATCCTCAGCCCTATTTTGTATTTTATTTAGAGACAGGGTCTCACTGAGTTGCTTAGCACCTCACTTTTTGCTGAGGCTGGCTTTGAACTTGCGATCCTCCTGCCTCAGCCTCCCGAGCCGCTGGGATTACAGATGTCTGGCTCTCTGAATACTTTTAAAATATTTTTATCTTTGGAGTTTGGCAATTTCATGTCATATGTTTAATTGTTGACTTTTTAGTTTTCTCTTTATGGAGTTATTGTACCTCCTGAATCTGAGAACTCATGCTTTTCACCAGTTTTGGGAAATTTTCGCATTGACACCTCTGCTTTCCTAAGCCTCTTTTCCTTTGATGCTCGTATTAGATGTATATTTGGTCTTGTCATGCTATCCTGCATGCTGGTTCACCTCTTTCCCGCACTTTCCATCTCTGTCTCACAATGCAATATTTTGAGTTCTTTAAATCTCTTCCGAACTTACTTTCTTCCGTGGAGTATTTTCTGTTGCTCACACATTCACTGAGTTTTTAATTTGAGTGAATTTGATTTTCATTCCCACAAATTCTTGGATCTTTTCCCAACATGCCTGTTCTCATTGCTTTGGTGATATCTGAAAGCTAAGCAACCCTATGAAGGAAGGTGTGTCATTCACACTACGAGTGGAGAACCACAGGGTACCATGATTGGTAGCAGGAAAGAGATGTCTGTTTCATATGCACACATATCCCATTGCCTGGTTGTTTATTCAGTATAAGGGATTTCACACGCATTGTCCCATAATGATTTCAACAACCCATGAGGTGGATACTGCTGCCTGTCCCACTTGGTGGTGGGAAAACTGAGCTTTAGGCTTAGGATTAGTCAAGATCAGAAAGGCTAGGTGGCAAGCTGGATTCACACCAGGAAGACTAGTTTCAGAATGTGTTAGTCTCAAAATCTTGTCAAAAGAACTTCATAGTGGATGACACAATTATATTTGATTCTCAGTCTTGAATTTTCAGCAGAAAACAGAAAATGAGGGGCTGGGGCAGGAGCTCAGTGGTAGAGCACCTGCCTCACATGTGTGAGGCACTGGGTTCAATCCTCAGCACCACATAAAAATAAGTAAATAAAGACATAGAAAAAAGAAAAAAAAAAAAGAAAAAGAAAACAGAAAATGGTAAGCAGTGAAATTCCTTTCTCCCAGTCAGCTCAGATCCATCACCATCTGTATTTCCTTCATCCAGTGATTTCCAGCCCAAAGGAAATGAATCACAGGGGTTGAATGAAGGTTGGGTGCCCCTCATACAGATTGGTGGATAGGCAAGACCTATTGAGAGAACAAGCTTCTGCCTGGGTGAACTTCATGGTGACTTCCTTCCAAAGAATATAGAAAGAGGGAAGATGTAGCTTGATGGTGGAGAAACCAAACAGCATTCAGGTGACCGAGATCAACAGTGAGATCACCTTGGTAGCATGGTCCACGACATGATGAAAATGGCATGTCACCTCTTCGATCTCCCCCCTAGAACCCTCGAACTCCAGTCTAATCTTGAGAAAAACAAAAGCAAATCTAGTAGAGGCTCCGACATTACACGACTCAAAACTGCCCAAGACAGCAAAAGCAAGTGAAGGTGCTGGCGTAGCCCAGGAGATAAGAAGGTGTCGCAAAGTGAGGTACAGTGGCTCATGTATGTCACCCTGGCCACTCGGAGGGTGAGGCAGGAGGATCGAAAGTTCAAGGCCAGCCTCAGCAACTTAGTGGGACCCTGTCTCAAAATAAAAAAATAAAAAAGGGATGCAGTTCAGTGGTTAAGCACCCCTGGTTTTCATCCTTGATGCAAAAGCAAAACAAAACAAAAAGAACAAACAAAAAAACAGTACAACAAAATGTAACATAATATCCTGAATGGGATCCTGAAACAGAAAAGGGAATTAGGTAACTGAAGAAATCCAAACCAACTATTAAGTTCAACCATATATGTGTGTATGTACAGGTATCATGTCTTTTTGTTGTTTGGAGGGTCCTGGAGATTGAAACCAGAGGCGCTTAATCACTGACCACCTCCCTAGCCACATCGGGGTCTTGCTGAGTTGCTTAGGGCCGGGCTGAGTTGCTTAGGGCCCGGCTAAGTTGCTGAGGCTGGCCACCAACTTGGTGATCCTCCCACCTGAGTTTCACAAGTCACTGGGATTACAGCCGCATATCACTGTCCTGGCTAAATCATGTTTTTAATGGAAAGGAGAGGAATGGAGCACTTGGAGAGTATTCTGTAAACATCAACACTACTGTAAAGCCGGTCCATACTCCTGGATCCTTGTTAGAAATAAGCCTTGGGTCTTCCAGGTCAAGTTTTGGGTCTGATGTACAGCTCTCCCCACTAGCTCACCCTGTTGAGAGCCACAGCCAGTAGGATGGCCCCTGGCATTTTGCCAGATAATTAAGTTAAGCTGTGTATTCAATTGTATATAGATCCCTGCTGTCCGCCTCAGGCGCCTGCTACTTTGGAGTTCTTGAGGGATTCCTGGGGAGTTCTCGTTAGTTGGTGAAGTTCCAGTGAAGGGAGTTCTGGTGTGTGGTGTTCCTGGAAGGACCGTGTGAGTTCGGAAATAAAGTTTGTTCCCGCTTGAGTGGCTCGTGATTTGTGCCCAGCCAGACTGCAGCATCACCCCTTTAGCAGGCTTCTGGAAACCTAATACATACCCAGCCCTGCACTATGCAGTTGGAGTTCAGGGTTGGAAAATACCATAGCCCTGCTCTGTGAGGGAGGAAACCAGAAAACAACAAAAAAAATGCCATTATTTCATTATATCACGTGCAATGGTGTAAACCCGAGCTATAGCACACTGTGACCATGAGCAAGAGCAGGAGCCAGCCTGGTCTAAGGGATCAAGGAAAGGCTTCTCTGAGGAATTTGTCTTCGGTGGAAGTTTTATTCCTAAAGTCATCGTTACTATTACTTGTCTTCATAAGTAAGGATGTGCTTGGATTTCCTGCATTGAACAAAGCCATCAAATATATTTATGTACTTGTGCCTCTAATGAAGCAGATCCGAAAAGAACCAGATGAGAAAATACAACTATAAGTAAAAGCAAAATTTATAGCATCTGATCATTTGCTTCCCCCAGGATACTAGAGCAG